TACACACACACACACACACACACATTACTATACATATATATATATATATATATATATATATATAATGTATATATACACATATATACATATACACACACGCACACACACACACACACACACACATATATATATATATGTGTGTGTTTGTGTATGTGTCATATACACATACAGGTATATGCATATGTATACATATACACAGATATACACGGATACAAGCGTGTGCATCTGATATTGACGCCAAAGTACGTATATATGTATTCACTACATAGGAACTTAAAATAGTGGGAGTCACTCTGTACGCTCAACATGGGTTGTTTCACGTATACTTACCAGTTGTCTATCCGCAGCAGCGTATTGGTACGTATATATATAATCTAAAACCCTAAACCCTAATAACCCTCCAACCATTAGGAGACCTACAACCCTAAACCCTACCACCCCACATCTTGCCCAATTAGCTCAGTTGTCGTTGCGTTGATACTTGTATTCCAGGCCATAGAGATTGACGGGGATAGTGATGTGGCTGCTGTGACAGACTACGACGACCACTACGTAGCCACACGAGTGCGCATGAGCGCAGGCACGCTCAATGTGGTTGTACTGACCCAAGCAGGTATGCCACGGCTAACAATTGGATATAATATATGTTATATATATCTTTATATATATCTTTATAATTGCATCCATGTTTTAGTTTATTATAAGATGCCGATGGGATGAGCAAACGTACGCAAATACGCTCTTATGTGAGTAGGCTAGTCTTTTCTTATAACTTGAAACGGCGCTTGTGTTCGTTCTGCATTCTAGTTGAATAGACTCGTACCTTCATGACAGATCTCGTTAATTGTCTACTATAGATACTCAGCCACTGATAACCAGCTGTACCAATAACACACGTACAAGTCTACTGCTATGGTATTATCGTAAATAGCCCGTGCACCTGTGGACATATATTCAGTGTTGTTTATTCCTCGTTAATTGTCTACTATAGATACTCAGCCCCTGATAACCAGCTGTACCAATAACACACGTACATGTCTGCTGCTATGGTATTATCGCAAATAGCCCGTGCACCTGTGGACATATATTCAGTGTTGTTTATTCCTCGTTAATTGTCTACTATAGATGCTCAGCCCCTGATAAGCAGCAGTGCCGATGGCATGAGCACATGCATGCAAATGCGCCCCAATGTGGGTGGAGTAGACCTTACCTACAGCCTACAGACATTCAACGTACGCGACACTGTGTGCGAGAAGGATGCCAATATCTTCCCTGAACTCATGTGTGTACAGGAGGATGCCGCAGAAGACAACGAAGTCAGGT